CTCAACTTCAAGATCCAGTTCCTAAGACAATCTACCTGCACCCTCAAGATCTCCCTAGGCTTCTCTGTCCCAAACTCCCTGAAAATGTAACCCCTTTACTTGACCCCCAAACTGGAGAAGATGGTCCTCCTCTGGGTTCCCATAACATCCTATTTTTATCACAGCATGTGTTTTTCAGTTTTATGTCTTTACTCTTGGCTATGCTGGTCTTGATCGCTGGGCACGGGCTTCCTCTAGCTGTGAGCGGCGGCTCCTCTCTGGTCGCACTGCATGGCTTCTCCTTGCAGTGGCTTTTCTGGCTACAGAACGCAGGCTCTGGGCGTGTTGGCTCGGTGGTTGTGATATACTGGCTTAGTTATGTGTGGCATGTGGGATCTTCCTGGACCGGGGATGGAACCTTTGTAGCTTGCATTAGCAGGCAGATTCTTAACCACTGGACCACAAGGGAAATTCCATATATTTTAAAATAAACATATTTATTGATATATAACAAGCATATAGAGAAGTCACATAAGTATTTAGCTTAATGATATATCAAAAAGCAAAATCAGGCCTGAAACCACCAAGATCAAGAAATTACCAGCAAGCAACCAGAAGACCAGCCCCCTCACTTACCCTCTTAATTTTTATCTCCATTCTCCCCTCCCCAAAGGCGATCAGATCCTGACTTCTATGCAGCTTTGCTTTGCTTGCCTGCTTTCAAATTTTATACAAATCAAATCATACAGGGTGGCTTCTATGTCTGTGATGTTTATTCCCTGTTATTGTATATAGCAATTATCCATTTGTTTTTATTATAATATGGTATTACATTATATCTATTCATTTTACTAATTATATTTATTTTGCTGTTGGGAGACATTTTGAATTGTTGCCATTTTGAGGCTTATATAAATAGTCCTACTGTGAATATCATTGCAAACTTTTTATTGAATATATGTGCACTCTTTGGGGTACATATACCATGGAGTGAAGCTACTGGATCATAGGTTACAAATATATTCATCTTTATTTAGTAGAAAATGCCAAACATTTTTCCAAAATGGTTGTACTGATTTATACTCCCACTGCAATGTGTATTTCCCCCTGCATCTCATCTTCATCAACAACTTATAAATGTCTACGTTATAATTGCAAATTCTTTTTTTTTTTTTTTGTCACACCACACAGCGTGTGGAACTTCTCTGACCAGGGATCGAACCCATACCCCCTCAGTGAAAGCGTGGAGTTTTAACTACTGAACCACCAGGGTAGTTCTATAATTGAAAATTCTTTCTTTCTCCCTCCCCACCCCACTTTCTCTTTTTCTCTCGTTAGTTTAGCATGACACTTAGAAGGTATCTGAGTAAAAGTCTAGTGAAATAGTAAGTAAATGACTAACAAACACAGAAGTGTTGGCTTCTATATTCTTGTCACTTAAGTGGTGACATTATGCAGAATAGTGTAGTGATTACAAGCATAGGCTTTGGGACCAGACTATCATGATTTGACTTCTAACCTCACCATGTCCCCACAAATTACCTTTCTGTGCTAATCTCTTCACTTTGACATCAGGGGGTCAATGAATTTTGTATAAAGTACTTACAGCAATGCCTGGCATATAGTATGAATTTTATAATATTAACTATTCGTGTTGTCTAATTCTTAAGGCTTATATCCTTTTAGACTCCCTAGAAACAATCTCTAGGGAGATTCTAGTAACCTAGAGAGTTTAGGAGTCTGCTCTAGGCAGCCAACCCCACAGAGAACTTCTAGATTCCTGAGGTTCCCTTTAGCCTTCATTCTCCACCGGCCTTATACCACGGGTGGGTGCCCCAAGTAGATGGCAAATTCCCTAAGCATGGTACTTGAGTTATCTTCATGGTCGCAGCGGTTTAAAAGCCCCACTTCAATTTGTGGGAATCTTAGCTGAACACATTCCCCCTAAATCCATATTTGAGCAGCTATCCAGCTGAAAACCTATGGAGAAGTGAATTGTTCCTTTTATCCACCATCACGCTCAAATGTAGTTTCAAATGCTGACAAAGATGTGTCCCACACCCCTAGATAGATACTTCTGCACATGTACTACTTGACATCATAGTGTTTAGCAAATATTTGCTTTTCTTTTTTTTTAATATATTGATCCCTTATTCTTTCTGGACTTACCTGTTCTAGCCCTGTTCCCTTCCCTCCCACTTGTGTTTGATCTAATTTCCTCCTGTTTGTGTGACAACACTCGGTCTCCTCTGGCTCTTATCTGCTCTCCAGCAATGTAAATCAGATCTTACATAGCAACTGACTGAAGCCAGAAGCCACCTTTCTACCCTCGAAAGATTGAAAAGCTGTGTAATCCATGATTAGCTCCTCTGAGTTATGTTTAATTAGATGGGAGAATGCCAGCTTGCAAGATCCATGTTCAGATAAAAATGTTTTAAGTACTTATTGTTCATAGAGGGGCTTTTAACTGTTATTCATCATGAGAATGAGGGGAAGATACCCAGAAAGCCTTTCTGTCAGGACTAGCATCAATCTTTACTAGGACTTTATAGATTTTCTTTATCATTGTAGTTGATTTTTGAGCTTCTCAGGTGGCTCTAGTAATAAAGAATCTGCCTGCCAATGCAGGAGATATAGGAGTCACAGGTTTGATCCCTGGGTGGGGAAGATCTCCCGGAGTCGGGCACGGCAACCCACTCCAGTATTCTTGCCTGGAGAATCCCCAGGGACAGAGGAGTCTGGTGGGCTACAGTCCATGGGGTCACAGAGTTGGACATGACTGAAGTGACTTAGCAGGCAAGTAGTTGACTTTGGCATTTGCGGTAGGTAAGGTTTAAAATGCAGCTAGTGTCTGGAGGGAAGAGCAGTAACTCAGATGCAGAGCTGGATCAGGGGCTACCCTTCAGCAAGATATAAGAGCCATGATAAAAGGGAAAGTGACCGTCCCCAGAGAAACCCCTGAGCAAACTGAGAGGTCAAGATAAAGGGTGCGCGCAGGAGGCTTAGTGCAGCAGCAAGACCAACTGCTGCAGGATCCCGTGTATGCCAGGAATTTGTGGAAGGCCTGGAAAGGAGAAAAAGTCCAAACAACTTGATGCAAGATGTTCTCCTACAATGCTCTTCTCCCTTCTCCCACAGGAACTGTTCCAGTGGCCCGATTACAGGTGGGCCCACGCAGTGCCGGGTGCATACCAGCTTCACAGGCTTCTGATCCAGGTCAGGGATGTGTCCCTTTAGGCTCCTTCTCAGAGCTGACACTGGACTCAGTTCAGCTCTGGTTACTCTCAGGAACCAGGAGTCCTGCCGGCTCAGCATTTTGGGAACATGGCCACTTATCCTCATCCTCCTCAGTAGCATTCTCCTAGACTTACAGACTATTACCTAGATTTACATTTCAACAAACTGCTTTACTGATCAAGTCAGCCTTTCCCATCAGGCTCTGTAAGGGCAGAGGTGTGTCTTGCTTTATCTCCAGTACTTAGAATAGAGCCTGGCCCAGTGAAGGCACTCTAGTGCTTGTTAAAGAATTACCTGTTACTTTAGACAAGTCAAAGGTCAGGACAAGCAGCCAACTTCACAGGACAGGCAATAAACATAGGGAACATTACTTCACATGACTGTCCTTGAGGCAGTTAAATGGGCAAGAATTTGTTTGGATGGATTTTTGGATAATGACTCACATCATAAAATGTTGGTAAAGCCCCCAGATAGAAATTGGCTTTAGGGAATTCCCTCGTGGTCCAGTGGTTAGGACTCAAGAGCTTCCACTGCCAGGGGCACGGGTTTGATCCCTAGTTGGGGAACTAAGATCCTGCAAACCACACAGTGTGGCCTGAGAAAAAAAAATAAGACTTTAAGACTGCCCTATTCTCTTCTGAAGTCAGAAGCTGATGCTTCTGGAGGAAGCAAGCCACTGTTAATCACAGCAGCATTTCCCTGGTTTTCGATTTTAAATGGATCTACTATTGTTCCCTTAACTGAAATATACAAAATAACACACATGACACAATTTCTGTAAATATTTTTCAAGGTTTTATTGCAAACCAAAGTTGGTTTATCACACACAAAAAGGTGTGTGGTAGGGAGGGGAGAAAGAATTGTACATATTATAACCATGTTAATTACAGTACATTAAAATGGTGGTTTACATTACAAATAAGCCTGTAAGTTTAAATATACTAGTGTTATAACCCAATGTACAGACTTTCTTTATACAATACATACAATTATCAGGAATGCAAAAAAAAAAAAAAACACAACATAAATAATGCCCATTTTATAGGTGACATTTTAAACAATGAAAACACCAGGCTCTGACTGACAACTGGGGCATTGGTCCATAAAAACCCTTTCTAAAAATAGAAATATTTGTAGCAGCAATGCTTTCTTTAAGCATCTGGATACAAGTCATTGCAAGACCATTTTCAATAAATTTTAGTTATTAAGTATATCTTACAAAAAAAAACAGTCTACACATAAATTTATCTTCCAAATATGGAAGAAACAAACAATGTCCCACGTTGTCGTGTTCTGCAAGTGTCACATTGATGCTTATAACTGAGTCCTTCTGGGAGCAAGCATACCACACTCATACGGCAGATCACACAGGAGTCCACAGGAGAAACGGAACGAAAACACTCGGCAACAGGAAAAGCTTTGGAGCTAACACGATCTCATCAGAAAAGGCACATTTCATAAGATTCGTTATCGTGGCCCAGACAGGCCTCCAGAAGCGCCTTCTCAGAACAGCCAGTGAGACCACTGCATCTGTCTCGGGCGGCCTTCTACTGCTCATTTCAGAGATAGCACCACATTGGAAGGAAGAATAAAGAGGAGAATCTCACAAGCTCACTGAGGAGGATGTGCTCTTCGAAAAGCTTCCAGCAAACAGTGTGCAATAAGACTGCCAAGATGTGCAAGCTTCCAGGGATGTGCAAATTCTCTTTTAAGATGTCCTGTCAGCTGGCAGCTCTGCCAAAAGGTTAACTAAGAAAATCCTTTGCAACCAACCCTAAGACCATTCAGAGGAAAGAGTCCATGGGAGGTGCATAGGAAAAGCCCAGAAAGGCTTCAGCCGCTTCCTTGACGCTGGCCGTGAGGAGGAGGCTGTCCGGGGACCGGCCGATGGAGTTGGGGACCGGCTCCTCGGTGAACTCGGGATCAAAGTGACGCAGGTCGCTGGGTCCGCTCTGTTGCGGAAGAGGAAAACAAAACAAAACATGCTCCATGTCAAGAATTCACAGTGGAGATGAGGCAGGGAAATTCTGCTTTAGGCGCTATATAGAGACCATCATAAACCATTTCAAGCACAAAACCCACAGGCCATGTAAAGTTTAAACTATGAAGGTCATGTTTTCTTTCTGTCTTTCGCTACTTTAATTTATAAATGTGCTGAAAAATTATATGAGCTTCATTGAGATAGAAGTTCTACTTCTTCTGTGGGTAAAATAATGGTTGATGAATAAAATATCTGCCAATTTATTCCTTGGGGGGCTCCCCACCCCCACCAATGCCATCAACTCTGACTTAAAAGAAGCCCTTGCTTGGGTTTCCATCCATGCCCAAGAGCTACTCACCACATTTGGGTTAAAAGGGGGAGTAATCTTCTTATTAATGAGATCTTCCCAGTTAATTAGGGAGAAGAAGACATGATTCTTAATCTCCATCTGTTGAGAAGGAAACATGAGCTTAGATGCCTGAAATTCAAGAAGGGCAGTGAGGTCTAGTGCTCTCCCAGACAGCCCAGGAGGACAGGAAAAGTGACTCACAAAGTCATCCTTGGCACCCAGCCTCTTTGTCCTGTCCTTCTGCAGGAGCCCTTCCAGGACGTGTCTTGCAGAGTTTGTAATATTTGGCTTCAGCTGGAGGGGCTTGTTCAGAATGTTGTCGTACATCTCAGCTGTGTTCCGGCTATAAAAGGGAGGCTGAAAGAAGGGGCAGGACCACTTACTAGTCAGCTGCAAGTTCTGGAGAGCACTCACTACCAATAAAGACTCAGACTGGAATGCATGAGGCTGGATTTGACAAAGTCTATCACTTGATAGGTTTTCTTTGCCCTGGAGTTTTCAGTGTCTATATTTTTCCACTCTGATGGGGGGCGGGGTAGATGCTAATAAGCCATGCTTTTCACCCTCAAATATGTGAAGTGTGGGCAAACCTAGTCAAGTGTGAACTTACAAAAGAAAAATCCACTAGGTAAGGGTTTATCCTAAGACACCTATAATTTAGCCAATACGCCCGTCACATCAGCATCTGTTAAGCTTACTGATAAAGGGCAAGACACGATGATCAAGTCTGCAAAAGGGTTTGTGTGCCCAGATGAGTCTGGAGGGAGAAATATATCCACCCAGGGCAATATTCTCTGATTTTCAATGGGCTACTCACCAGGCCATACAGCATCTCATATAAGACGGCCCCCAGGCACCACCAGTCCACCGTTCTATCATAGGGCTGCTTATGAAGCACCTCAGGCGCCAGATACTGAAAGACCAGGAAAAGAGAGCTTAGAGCCCCTGAACCAGGCACTGCCAAGACCAGGGGTGCGCCTTCAAAGACACACTGGGTCTACTTGGAGGATATATTTCTCTAGACTACTTCCTGATAAAATTGATGCCTTTGAGGCTGACTGTCCACTTATGTGTCCGATATTTAGAAAGCTAGTGGGTACCCCTCAGCTATCTTGAGAATTTAGAAACTTTCTATGATCATGGATCTTATCAACAGTTCCTTTTAATTAAAGCAACATGAGGCTTTGGAATTTCTCATGCCTCCAAGAGTAAATGCATTTTACTTGCACTGAACTGGACTAGAACACTTCTAAGAATACTCTTTCAATAGTTAAAGGCACTAGTGCAATGATCTCCTCCTGGAGGAGTGGGAAGACCAGGCACCAAATCAAGAGTGTGCCTACCTCGGGCGTGCCACAGAAGGTGGAAGTCGTGCCATTATGTTCAATGTTCTCCTTGCAGAGTCCAAAGTCAGTAAGGACAATGTGTCCTTGTGAATCTAGCAAAATATTCTCTGGTTTTAAGTCTCTGTTTAAAAAAAAAAAAGTAGTCACATAAATTAATTTCACTGCATGAGTAAAGATCATTGCTATAAAGATCATTGCTAGGGCTGTTAGAAGCACTTTATATTTACTGTATTTGTGTTAGTAAATCTAAAAGGGAGTCCTTGTTCTGTTAATCTGTTCTGAATTAGGCACAATCCGTATTGGCTAGCTGCCTAGTGGAAGGGAGTCAAGACCAGTCACATGGAGATCTGGTTTTAGGTGAACAAGTTATGCCTAAACACAAATTATTTAAGGTGCTGTCAAAGCCTGGGCTATGGTCCCCTTTACATGAGAAGGGCACCTTAAGAGCTCTTCAACTCACCTATAAACGATGTTCAGAGAGTGCAGGTAACCCAAGGCACTGGCTATTTCAGCAGCATAGAATCGAGCCCGTGGTTCCAGGAAGCATCGCTCCCTCTGGAGATGGTAGAACAACTGCAGAAGACAGAACGGAGTCAGCCCGGGCTGCCAAGCCAGAGGACAATGCATTGAACCAGGCTTGACATATACATAACTAAAGAGCACAATGGCAGGAAGCAGCCCTAAATAGTCTATTAACTATCTGAATGCCGGGAGGTTAGGGGAAATGCTAATGCTGTTAACCTTTCTCCTAACCATCTCGTACAAACTCTCCTCTCAAATGAAATGAAGCGGGCCAGGCACAGACACCCGGCGGTCGGCTCCCACCCGCTCCGCTCACCTCTCCGCCGTTGATATAATCCAGGACGAAGTACAGTTTGTCGGCCGTCTGGAAGGAGAAGTGAAGGCCCACCAGAAAAGGGTGTTTCACGTTCTTCAGGAGCACGTTCCGCTCTGACATAATATGCTTTTCCTAGAAAAAGGACAATGAAGGTTCAGTGGCAAATTTCAACTTGGCGCCAAGATTCCCGTGTAACGGCAGTGACCCGCTTCTCTCCCAGCCCAGCTCATACCTCCTTCTTTTTCAGGATTGCCTTCTTTTGTAAAACTTTAACTGCATAGAATACTTCTTCTGCTTTGTGTCTTGCCAGGAGAACCTGAAATTTAAATTAGAAGTCATTTTCCTGTTCACATCCAGGGAGAATGTAAAATTAGCGTATGAAAGACTATAAACAACAAGAGCTTCAGAGGTGAAATTACCTTTCCAAAACTGCCTTTTCCAATTACTTTCAAGAAGTGAAAGTCAGACGGTTTAGCATGAGGATTGGATGATGGGCCCAGGTTGATTTGCTGAGAGGGACTTGGCTGGAAAATAAAAGATTTTCCTTTAATCTTTTCCTTGCTTCAAAGGAAGATTGTGATAGTAAAGTACAGGCAATGTAAGAGATGGGATATCTGCAAATGACTAGGCAGGTCCCCACACATCTATAAACACATTTCAAAATACCTTTTGTCCATACACGTGCATATTGCAAAACAGAGTATGGAAATTGTACACAATCATACTGTTCTTAAGCAGATAACACTTTTATGAAATACGCCTTTCAAAATGCTCCACTGATTCATACTTAAGTGCTTATGTCAGTTGTCTGCTATGAACTAACAAGGCATTCCTGCCTTGATACTAACTAAAATGCTATTTAAATTCATCCACGTAGGGATACTGACTCATTTTTAAGATCCCTCCATTGACGTTTCACGAATAGAGAACACTTACTGGAGGAGAAGGGTTGGCATTCATAAGCTCAGGCTCCTGAGGTGGGGAGATTTTCAAAATGGACTGAACTTCAGGGCTGCAAAGAGGAAAGGAACAATTTAGAACATCCTAACTCGCCACAAGGGGGCAGACAACACCAACAGTGAATTTCCGGCTCTACTTCTCCGGAGGATTCAGTGTTTAAAAACACCCGAATCAATTACTGTTAAAGAAACTAATAGCTAAAATAACAAACCCACTAAAACACAGAAATGGGCGTTGTTCTTCAAGGAGAGAGGAGGTGAATGGGGAAAATATGATAATTTTATCTTGCATCTCTAGTGCAAGCCAAATCAGCAAGCTAATTTTAATGTTTTAAATGTCTTCAATAATTAGAATTTAAAGAGAAAAGGGATCCCCACCCGCGGGAAGTCTTTGGCTCCCTGATCAATATATTAATGGGAAGTGTATCTTTACTGCTGGTAAATGGAAACTTCACTACTTATTTATATTTCCCCCAATTCCCCCCCACCCCCCCCCCCGAAACTTACTGTTTGCATGCATAGGAGTTATTGGCAATCTTCTGAATAAAGTCGTTCAGGCCCATCCTTCTCTGTTTCATGAAAGCTGTGAATTAGAGAGGAGAAACGTTTAGACAAAGGCTTTGTAAATCCATCGCCACACACACTAATCTGATCCTGGGCATTCAAAAACTTCCACTTCGCGTAACCTAGAAATAACCTAGAAGTTCAGTCGTATCCCTACACTCACCGATGAGAATTGCTACCATGCCTCTCATTCTGGAGTAAGTGAGGGTGTCTCTAGCAGCCTCGGTTTTCACCGTCATCGCCAGAGAGAGCACGGGCAGTCGTTACAAAACGGAGACCGGCTCAGCCAACGCTGCGCTCAGGCCCGGTCTCCAGCCTTATAAGCGTTGTGCCGCCGCGGGGGCGGGACCCACGCGACAAAGAGTCAGCGGCGCAGTCCGGCCCCGCCCTCGGCCCCGCCCCCAGATGCTGCGCCGCTCGACTGGCGGCAAAGGGGCAGACGGCGAGCGGTTCCGCCCCCGAGGAGAGGGCCAGCCGGGAGCAGGGGTTGGGGGGCTCGGGGACCGCCCCGGGAGGGCCCGGCCCGGGACTGTTATCCGCCTCCCTCTGCTCCCGGGCCGGAGACTGGGAAAACCGCAGGCGGAGGGGATGGGAGGGAGGGAGCAGCCGGGGTAATTTTCCACTTTTCTCATTTATTCCGCCTTGCGAGGAAATCAGAGTCGCGGCAGATCAGGAAATCAGAGCGGTTTATGCCCGGTGCGCGGCGATCGGGGTGGCTCTGCGCCCGCTCTGGTTTCTCAAACCCTCAGTTCGGATTCACCCCCTGCCCCGGTGCCGACTCTGATCCTCTCCCGTAATTCACAAGGCAGTCTCCCGAGCCCTCGCTGGGGGTGCAGCGCACCATCAATAGTTATCTCAGGCGCAGAGCGGCAGCGCCGGAGGAGGGCGGCCCTTCACGGTCTTATCTTCGGGGTCAGCGTGGTCCCCTGGCTCCCGCCGCCCTCCTTCCCCGGTCCCATCCTCAGTGCAGCCCCAGATACCCAGCCCCTCTTTCCGATCCGAGCAACTAGTGGAGGAGTGCGCAAGGCAAGTCCCCCGCGTGGCGGTAGCCGCGCTTACCCAGTCCGGTCAGCAGGAAGGACTCGCTCCTTTTCTGCGCCTCGGCCCTCTTTTTGTGGCGGGGCCGGAGCAGGGACTCGAGCCGGGCCCTGGTCAGCGCGCCCTGCATCTCCCCCATGGGCAGCGGCGGCCGGGCGCGCAGCGGGCTGGGGCGACAGCAGAACACTGACGTTTCCTTGAAGGAGCCGCCGTGACTCAGGCCGGGCAAGATTTCCTGCCCCGCGTCCCAAAACAAACAAATGGCCCTTGTGCACCGCCGAGCCGCTTCCGAAAACGCCTTTTTTGTGCTTTTGGCCCAAGCCAAGCAAGGCTGAAAAATCCCAGAACTTGGAAGAGGAGGAAGGAAGGAAAGAAAGAGGGAAGGGGGAGGGAGAGAGGTCAGGAATGTGGGGGGAGGGGGCGGAAATAAAATTCGTCTCTGCACTAAGGGGGAAAAAAATCTGCATTTCACTTTTTTTTTTTTCCTAATGTAATCTTTGGGAACATTCTGTCCTTTCCGCATGTAATTTTCCCCCTTGCATTTTTAATCCCCGCCATGGCAAGAACACGTGAGGAGGTGGCAATTTAGGGGACCACCTGCCGTGACCCCGGATTGGTGCGGAGCCGGCACCGCGGGGTTCTCCCGCTCCCCGAACTCCGCTAGGTCGCACCCCATGGTCTTAGGTTGTACGCGTCTTCCCTAGCCCTCCTCCGGTTTAATTCAAGGCAGACCCTGGAGTTTTACCATCTTGCTCTTTCTCTCGAGTCCCTGGTAACTGTGACTCCCGAAAGATTAGTCGGGCGCCTCCTCCGCTCCAGAAAGCAACGGAGGGAGGGGAGCGCTGCAGAACGGCCGTGCGGTGCCTTCCAGTAACCCCGCCGCTCCGACAGGCCTGGGAGCTGCAGCTTGACCGCCGGTGCGAGGACTCGCGCCAGCGCCGGCAGGAAAGCCAGGAACACGGCGGCTGGGCCAGGAGCGGGAGAAGGCTGCAAGCTACTAAGTTCGCAGGGTCGGGCGCCTGTCTGCGGCGGCTGCCCTGCCATGACCCCTTACTTGCCAACGGCCTTGCCATTTTGAAGTTGCCTACTGGATCTGACACACTCCGAAAATACCAGCTGTCACACCAAGAATAGCCTGTGAAGGGGTGTTTCTTTAGTCTTGGGCAGGAATTTGTTTTGCAGGCACAACCACCTCGTTTGCCCGAATGGGATCTGTAGCCTCAACTGCTTCTTGGTTTATTCAGTTACAACAGCCCCAAATTGGCAGAAAACAACACATCCTGGAGACTGGCCGGGAGATTTCGCTCAGCACCCACTCTTTAAAAAGCACTTACCTACTGCCTGAAAGGGACACTTCCAACCCTAAGCAAGGTTTTTAGAAAACTCCAAATCACAGAAACTGGCCCATTTCTGCTTCCTCTTCCATGGATTCATCATATAACATGACTCTATGATTGCCCATGCCCCCATATCCCATGCTCCACCTCAACAAGTCTAGCCTGGGGCCTGCTCCCACGAGGTTCCTTCCCCTTTTGAGAAAGTCACAATTTTGAAGAATGCCCAGAAACACCAAACTGCACCAAAGTTTCTACCAGTTTGTTTTTTAAACATTAAGAAAACTCCAGAGACTCACTTCCTGTGCCCACCCCATGCCAAGTAACCCCAAATCCTCTGCAACATCTTTATTCTACCCATTCCATCCAAATGATAGTAATAAAAGCAGACAAACCTTTCAAAGGGGATTTTATAGCTTCCTCTTTCATTCCTCAGGTTGCCTAGGATATAAAGTTTGGGGATTCCTTTCTGGAGGCTGGAGGTAGAGCTTAGTTATGGCCAGAGTAGCCTCCCTGCTATGTGCCTGATAAGACTGGAAGCTGGGATGACAAGGGAGCATGACTCGGAGGCGAGTGTCCCAGCTTCGCTATGAACCCACTTTATATAAAGGCAATTTCCATACAGGAAGGGAACAAGCTGCAAAGTTCACCACTGGGCCACTTTATTCCCTTCATTGCAACATCACCCAGAAAATTATAGTCATCAGTGTCCTGGGTTTATTACACCCCCAGCAAGACACACAAGAAATGTAACCTGACTGATTATCATCACAAATCAGTGCAGAAAAAATTCAAAACACATGCACAGGGTTCATTTTCTCTCAAAGACGCTCTTTCCCGCATTCCAGGAGGAACGAGGAATTTAAGTCAGAGGGCTCCAAGTGGAATAAAGAGGCACAACCATATGATTTGTGGTTGGAACCGAAAGGCATCCTCTGATGTGCTCACCCCTCCCCCTCCCCTAATGTACAGCCTTTGGAGACAGACGGTCTGCTAAACTTATCATTTAACGGGGAGAATCAAGTTGTTGAGACTGGCTTCTCGTCCAACCGGATACCTGATGGGTGGAGCAGGCGCCCCCTGTTCTGTCCCAGCAACCTAGTAAGACTTCCGAACAGGAAAGTGACACACGGCGGCGGGTGGATGGGGGTAGGGGGGAGGTAGGCGGGGAAACTGTGTGACGCGCGCCTAACTCTGCACAGGCTTTAGGCTGTCCTGTGGCCACTGTTCCGACGCTTCATCTGTTCTTCCTTCCCGTCGCCAGCCTCCTTCTTCGGTTCAGATAGTGCTCCCACCGGGAGGAATCCGGCCCCTTGCCTCCCACTCCGTGGAGGTGCAGTGGCCGGAGTTGCGTCACCAGAATCTGTCCGTAAATACAGTCTAGAGGGCGCTCGCGTTCTCCCGGAGAAGAACTCCCGAAGGCGCGTTTCCCCCCTTCTCTCCTGGGGCTTAATCAGTTCCAGGTAATTCCTCTACAACACCTCACGCAAAGAAAAATATATAGACCGCTTGATATGAGATACGCTAATCACCTCCCCACTCCCCCAAGCCAATCGTCTCCTTTATTCCTCATACTGGAGAAACTGCAATCAAAACTCCCTAACGGGAATTATGCACTGAAACAAAACATTTCCCAATGTATGTGTATCTTAAATCGAAAATTATTTTAGCTTTTCTTCTTAGTGATTAAGTAAAATTTTTTCTGATTGATGAACTACAAATACTGCGGCCTGAGAGTTTTACTGAGATATGATTCTTTCCGTTTAATTTAAAGGCCCAGAAAACAAATTCTTGGTATTTCTCAACATATTAGAGAAAGTATTTTGAAACATAAAAAGACTTATTTTTTTAACTGTTAAAGTGTTTTAATGTCAATATAAAATAAAATCAGGGTTTCACTAGCAAATTTCAGAACATGGACATTGATTTCTAAAATGATTTATCTTCTTTTCAGAAGTCTAAATATGAAAACATATAAATCTTAGGGGTTTAAAAAGATATGGTATTTTTCCCCATTTTAATACAACTGCAATTTACAAACATGCAAAATAATTAAGCTCCCCTCTTGAGTTACTTCTTTAATAATGTGTGTGTTAGTCTTCAATCCTTCATTCCTAGATACAATATCTTCCATTGATAATACAGCAATATAATTATTTCATATTCTCAAAGTGTCATAAATTCTAGACCAATCCTGTGCACAGTTTAGGTTCCCATATTTATTGGTTTATTGGTTAATGCATAGAAAATCTTTTCCTTGGAACATCACCAAAGAAAGGACATCCAAAAAACATAATTATTACTCCAGAGAGCGACAAAACAGATTAGTTTTTGTTGAAGGTTGTCACCCAGTGCATGTCTTTTTTACCGTATTCATCAATTAGAAAATGATGATGACAAATGAGCCCATTCAAGATAGCTATTACTAGCAATAATAGTAATGGTAATAATGGTTGGATGGCATCACTGACTCAATGGACATGGGTTTGGGTGGACTCCAGAAGTTGGAGTCCACTTGGACTCTAGCATGGGAGCCTGGCGTGCTGCAGTTCATGGGGTCGCAAAGAGTCGGACACAACTGACCGACTGAATTGAACTGAATTACTAGCAGTGGTGGTTAAATCAATGTCTACGTATAGAACACAGG